ATTTACCTTTTTGCCCCTCCACCAGAGTAGGTTGACTGATTTACCCCTAGGACAACACTTCTCCTAGTCAGTCCTTGCCCGTCACGCACGGTCCCACCATCCAGAAACAGTCACGACGCTTGTGCCTGTTACTGCGCCTCTGCCCATAGCAACAACTAGTTATGGGCACCTCTGCACGTCCCAACGGCTAGTTTCTGGCAGTCACCTATTCTTTGGGAAACGGTTATCTCGCCCCAAAAATAGGGACCAATGGCCAAGCGCTGGGGGCACTATAAAAACTCTCTCATTTGAGAGGGTCAAGTATTCAATATTCATCTTGATACATACATATTTTGTACTTGTCTTCTTTCTCTTGATTCTTACTTTAGCATCGGAGTGTCTTGCAGGTACACTCTCTCCTCCTCTCTCACACCTAACATCGCAGACGATTGTCTCTGATCCACTTCAGGTTCTAATCAACCGTCAATATCAAAAATCATATCAAATTATGTACTTAGTAAACAAAAGAAAAACTATTTATTGAAGAAATGGAAACTAACATACCAAAATTTGAATTTGGACTAAAAGAAGTCACATTAGTAATTGATAATGCTTCGAATATAATTGTTTCCAATGAAAAATAAAATAAAAATATAAGACAAATTCTTAGATACTATTTAGTTTTAGTCGAGTGTTAATTGATTATAATTTTAAAAAAATTATAATAAAAATAATGTGTCATTGAATGTCAGAATATTATATTGTTCACCAAAATAAAATCTATAAAACACGGAAAAAGAATTCAATTAAATTCAAGTGTACTAGAATACCAAAACAATTGTCCAATTAAATTCAAAAGTATCAGAATGTCAGATTGTTCACCAAAATAAAAAGAGTTTCTTAATCCACTCCTTGATACTCTTAGGCACCTAGCGAAATTTCTTTTATGCCCCTTGCTTTTGAAGATACACATTCGGACGCATCTTTTTTTTCTTTACATGCTTCCGGAGACGCATCTACGGAAAAAGTTCTGGAGATGCAACTCCGAAATCTTATCAGAACAGGTTTTTTTTTTAAATCAAGTTTTGTTGATTGCAGATGAACATAAAATGACATACATCCGTAAATAAAATAATATGATATATATATATATATATATATATATATATATATATATATATATATATATATATATATATATATATATATATATATATATATATATATATATATATATATATATATATATATATATATATATATATATATATATATATATATATATATATATATATATATATATATATATAAGAAGTAATATGGTACATAAATGTCATCAAAAATATAGTACATCAAACAAAATCACAGTCACTACTGTGTGTGCCTGACCGCCTCGTCTGCCTCTCCCACCTCCTTGACCGCCTGGTCGGCGTCCTCGACCATCGATCTCACCCGTCCTGGCGTGTTTCCTACGGTACATAAGTGCCCATGCTGCCATCGCAATGCTGTCATCTAATACACGCTTGTGGTCAGACCTCTTAGAGAAGAAATCGGCGGCAATGCCTGCCTGCCCCATCTCCACTATCTCACGAGAGCGAGGATAGCATCCTGAGTGTGGTACAACTAAAACTGCTCCTCCTCTAAGATCTCCTGATGAGCTAGAATGGGTGGTGACCCCTCGGCAGTGAGCACTATATAGGGGTGTGATACGGTGAAGAACTACATGATGTAGCCATCAACGCAGCTCCAGTTTGTCGGCGCTCTGGTCGCCCGAGCCTCGTCAGGTACCATGTATCTCTGGTAGTCAGCATAGATCTCCTCTATCTGCATACGGGTCAAGCCGAGAGGAGCAAAGACAACTGGGTGTCTTGGAATGATCTGAGTGTAGTCGAACTGCCGCATGACGCGCTCACGAAAATATGAAATAATGATGGTCGAACTGCATGCCAACCATCTTGAGAATAGAGAGGTGTCGTCAAACGGGCGCGTCACACGGTGACCCGCATAGACGTCGTACCGGATGTCGTCAGCAGCCAGGCGATCGAGATAGACTCTGTAAGGGTCGACTTCCTAGTTCCCCCTAAGTGGGAGAAATGCACGTGCACGTGGCATCTGCTCTATATAATCAGGTATACTCCCCCACCCGACGATCATGGAAAAGTGCTAGAATATTCAAGTCTGAAATGAAAATAAAAAATATAAGGATCAAGCATTATCTCGAATATAGAATGAAAAGAAATGATAAAAAATCGAAGGATATAAGATTGTAACCACAAGTAGTGTCACGCTCCCTGTCACAGTCCTGGTCTTCCACGGGTATCCTTCTCCCAGCCTCGAATATGTGTAAGCCAGGGTAGCCGCCCCCAAGTTGTACTCATGGATCCGTGTGGAATCCAAAAAGTACCTTAGGTAAGCAACATCCGTATATGTGGAGGAAGTGTCTACAAACAGCTGAGTGGCAACTAGAAATAGAAAATAACATCTCAGCACACGCTGTCTGTGCATCTCAACCTCATCTGGATCACCATCTGCCTGTCATAAAGCAACGAGCGCCTCATCAAATCTACGAGTGAGAAAGGAGAACCTGACATGAGCCCCTATGGTCTTATCCACCTTCTCCAGCGCATTCAGTGGATCAGCCCCAAGCTCCTCGACCAACATCTCTCTCGCATTCTCCTTTGTCATCCTACCGTGATGGAGTAGGGTACCCCTGATCGGCATATGTGACAGATATGAGATGTCGTCCAGTGTGATCGTGAGCTCGTCGTGCAGTAGATGAAAGGAGGGTGTCTCAAGGTTCCATCTTTCCACAAAGCCCATCAACATCCCATTGTGGATCACGCTGTAACCGATCTCACAAAGGTCCTTCAAAGTAGAGGTGGCAGGGGCATCCTGGAACCAAGCCTCATATGGCGTCTCCAAAGATAATATCTTCCGCCTGTGGTTATAGAACTTATGCGAATGACGAGTCTGAAAATTTCCATAAATAAAAAACAATGTTAATAAGAAACAATGGTACAAATTATAAATTTCCAATGAAAAAAAAAGAAACAATGTGAGTAATGTTACCTCTCCATCCCAAACATGTCTCGCAGTATGGTCGGTGTACCCTGTCAGTAGGGACATATCTGAGGGACCCCCTGGGAAACCCTCGGGTTCATCGTCGTCGTCGTCACTAGAGGAGTAGTGGGTCATCACCCTCTAGAGGTGGCACCAAATCAACATCAGGAGGAGAACCAGGAGTATTTCGGCGAGGCCTACAGGAGGACAGGGCCTATGATGAACCCTCAACTGAATCTTGACACCTCTGGGATGAAGAAGTGGATGATGGAGTGGAATACGAGATCAAGGGAATGTCCTGGGCATGTGATGAAGAAAGATGTGCCTCAACTGTATCGGCCTCGATAACGGTGGTCTGACTCCGCTCGCGTCTCACAGATGCATGATGTGAAACTCGTCCAAGTCGCAATCTATCTTCTCTGTCTATTATAATGTCTGCAAAGTATAACCAATAAAAAACAATTAATACAAATAAATTTAAAAACAAAAAAGAAAAAGAAAATTATTATTTTTTACTTCCGAATGTATACATGCGAAAAAACTCAGAATTCAGAAAGTTAGACTTATTTCGGAGCTGCATCTACGGAATTGCTCTAACGTTAATTTGTTTCGTAGATGTAGCTCCGGAACTTCCTGCAACTTCAACAACAATGTCAATGGCGTCCCCCACCCATGAAAATTGGGTTTCTCAACCCTTATCGTCCGTTTCAGCCAACAAAAAATACCTACATTGTCTCTAAATTATGTTTCTAAAACTATCTAACGATTTCTACCCCTAAAACTATATTCTAACTCGTTTACGGAAAATACTCGAAAATACCTCAGAAACTCGAAAATTTATTGATTATATCAAGTTTTAAATGAATTGGAGTGTCTTGATCGTTGAGATGAATGCTCATTGTCGAACTTGATTGAAAACAATTAAGTTTGATGAAAAAAGTTTTTTTGAGGTTCGAGAGTGAGAAGTTGAAAAATAAAGAATGAGAAAGGAGAAGTGACTCTGACACAAATGTATTCTGATTCGTTCCGAAATTATATAAACGAAAATACTCTGTAGATATAACTTTGAAAAAAATCAACGTTAAAGTAAAAAAAATACGTTCAAAAATATATTTTCAGAAACAGAAACAAATGATATTTTTGAAAGCACACGTGGTGCTTAAAAATCCCAAGGGATGGGTGGGTGGGGTAAGAAATTTTTAAAATAAAACCTATGAAATACGGAGAGAAAAAGATTGTAGATACTGAGTATGGACAAATTGATGTTTAACAATAAATAAGTGCTTATAATTAAACAAGTCACGACTAACTGTTGCTTTAAAAAAATATCTAATAATGTTTATAACATAATAATAAATATATGTAAGACTCAACTTTTTATTGCAACAATCAACTAATAGATATACTGAAACATATACAAAAAACAACCAGTACCTAAAATATAATACATATACTTCATGCATATACTTTTATTGACACATACAAATCGAAAACTAAAGAAAAATAATGTGTTATAAGAAATTCACCAGCTAGAAACTTTTGAAATAAACACATGCATTCCTTCTAATGCAACAGCAATATCCAGCTACACACATTATGAGTATAACGGCTAAATTTAATTTATTTTTTTTGCTCTTATTTGATATCATTGAACTATGTGATCCATATGACACTAAAAGCATCAAACAAATTAATAGTTGCTCACAAGAAAAGGTTACAAATATTAGGGGTTCCCGCCAAAAAAATAACTGTAATTTCGACCTAAGCTTTACATCAAGCTTCTCTGATTTACTTCAAGTTCTTTCCGCTTTTAAGCTTCATCGCTAAGCGCAGACGAGTATTTGCGATAGAAGCCGGAATTTCTGCATTCAAACCCATCTCTCACAGTTCACTAGCAACATAAACTGTTGCAGTGCAGGTTAACCCGGATTTTATATGTACAGTAAAATGGGAAGAAATTATTAATGGGAATCGACATTTTTTAATTTCAAACCCTCCATGCCCTTGACTGCAGTTTCATAATTTTTGACATGAGAACCGTTATTAGAAGTTGCTACTCTATTTGGATCCGACGATCCAATATGTGAACCTCTTTGTCCACTTGAACTAATGTGTGCTTTTCCGCGGATAGATTCGGTAGCACGAGAACGAAGATCAGAATCAGCACCACTAAATGGATTGCGGCTACTACTATCAGCAACTCGCCTTGATGACCCACTTGACTCACCCAAGGCATTGGCATTTGATAACTGCATGATTTGATACACCAAGTTACAAAATAAATAAAGGATCTTATTTATAAAAAGGAAACCCGAGGATATTATGGACTCCCAAAAAATCTCACCATAACCTCCTTGCTAACAGCAGCATCACTAGGGGCTGAATTTTTCTGTTTTGAAATATTCACAGAATTTAAAATGGGTCCTGACACTCGTCGTCTTGAAGAGTCTCCTGAAATCAAACCAGGAGGACGCCCATCTTCCCTTCCTGCGAGATAATGCGAAAAAGTTAAAATCGGAAAGCCAAAAAGCATGACTTTAATTTGCTAAAAAATGATTCACATTGTGTATTATACTGATCAAGCTAAATTTAGTGAAAAATTAAACATACAGACAACAAAGAAATTACCAGTGTGTCGGTTAGCACTAGTCATAGCAAGAGGCATTCCTGGACTAGTTCCGGCACCGGGCCCCTAAAATACAAGCATAAGAATTCTATCCATTGTAAATGGCAAAGGTCGCAAATGAGAAAGAAATAGAGAAAAGAAAACTTACAATACCACGTGCTGGAGGAGTGACTAGCTGTGATTGCTGATATTTCAAGATAGTCCAATCAAAGACGTAATCAGACTGGAATCCTGTTCAAATACCAAAATATTAACGAGTCAATTTGCTGCAACAGATTGAAGAGCCGACCTACAAGTGTGTTTAAAATAAACATGAAGATCGAGACGAAGTTTTTTTTATGAGAATAATTTCAAACCTTCACGGATAAACAGGTCGCGGAATATTCTTTTGAGGTAAGCATAATCTGGTCTGTCATCAAACCTTAATGATCGGCAATAATGGAAGTATGACGCAAACTCTGTTGGATAACCTTGACACAAGGCCTGGAATACACGACAAGCATGAGTGCAATTTAAGATATAGTGCGTATTATGTATTCAAGGGAAAAATATAACAAACGCGCGCACCTCAATCGAAGTAGAAACCTTCTTTTCACTGATTTTCTCGTACTTCTCTCGCTTGGTTCTTGCTTGAAGTCCTTGCCATGGGAGACTACATAAAAAATGAAAATCAAGCCAACTGTTTTAAACACAGCACTAGAAGAAAACATTGCAAGGTAGACAGCAATAATCACCTTCCTCTCAGAAAGTACATCAAGACATAACCAATAGACTCTAAATCATCTCTTCGACTTTGCTCTATGTATTGATCATAAAAATAGTACCAAGCAACATATATATGTTAGATAATACCGCTTTGCTGCACATTAAGCAATGTTAAGTATCAAAAGATTGTATATACCAATGCCGAGGTGGGTATTCATGCTAGCATATCTTGCAGTTCCAGTCAAATTCTTATTTTCCCTGTTGTTTTCAAAATGAAACATATAACAAGTCATATTCACAAATAAATTAATACTAAAACAGCAGCAGCCAAACTAGGCAATATAAAATCGGGGTCTAAATAAATATGGACAAAACATCACGGACAAGAATCACAAGCAATGTTTTAAAAATCGAGAGTCTACGCAAGAACGAAGAAGGTTGAAAAATCGTAACTCGATGACCGTGGCACAAATTGTAAGATTTTATCCAAGTTACTTAATTATACTTATACATCTACAGATGCATCAAAAGACATGGTTAAGAAAATATTCTCTAATCATAATATTAAACCAAACTTAAATCGGAAAAACAATAATCAAAAGAGATATTAGAATACAAATTGTGTGTGTGCGCGCATAGTGTTATCATGCTTTATGCTTTAAATATATTTTGACACAGTTATGCTATATTGTTGTTATTTCGCTTATTATCATGCTTTATGCTTTAAATAGGAGAAATAAATGAGGGTGAATTAATGATACAGTGTCTGAGTTTATTAAAACAAAATAGGAAAAATACTAAAATAAACGATAGGGCCCATCAGGCCGAAATATCATTTTAATGCAAAATTTCCAAACTACTGAGACCTGTGCCAAGCTGCACAGTAGAGAGAAAGGAGGAATGGTCAGAAACAGTGACAGGAAGGAGGAGGTAGAGTCACAAGTGGTGGCATTGCAAGAAACAAAGAAAGCTTTATCATCAAATAGGAATGGGTGCAAAGAGAACTCGAGAGAAACATAGAAGAATAATTGATTTCTCTGAACCCGGCTCGGATCTGAAATAATTAATAACTTATCCCACTAAGAAGGTTGGCAGCATGGATCAAACGACGCCATGATGTTCTATCATAAATCACATATCTACCCAACTCATTAATCTACAAGTATTTCTTAGTAATCTCTTAAAAATTTTGTAGGTATTCCCTTGCCTCTTGCGATTTGACTACCTTTTATCTAATCTACTCTTCTTAGTACAGAAAATAAATTACTTTGGAAATTAAGATTAAACAACGACATGAACACAATAAAAACTTGTCAAACAATTAAATATGATGTAGCAAGGCGATGATACTATAGGGTCTACTAATACAATTATAATTTCAATTTGGAATCGATCAAGAATTGTAGTTACCATAAAGAATCAAGATATAGAATAAAAGATTCTATTGTTGGATGACCAGTAAAAATTTGTAAGGATTAAAGAAAATAGTTTTCTAGTTCAAAAAGGCTTAGTTGGTTGTTTTAAGCCATTGCAACTGCCAGCCTCTCATCTCGTCGAAGTATGGTTTAATGAGTAGACTGGTATTCATAGCATCATCATACTAGTCAAAGACAGACAATGGGTGGACGTTCGAAACAATAATAGACAAGCAGAGCATGATCGGTTTATCTACTTACATTAATACTGACACAAATGTTTTGTTATGAAAAGTTTTAATTATATAATTAAAAAATCATTCAAATACAAATAAACCCTCCTTCATACATATACATTGCTTGGTTGGATTTATCCAATATGAAGATGAAAATAAAATAAAATAAAAGTATTACGGTAACCTGAAATGTGAGAATTATGTTGGATGAAATTAGTTCAAACTGAGTCATTAATTCCACTAAGCCATCAAGGTCTAACAATTTAGGAATAGGCGAGTTTACGAAGGCATTCACAAACCAGCTAAATCATCGTACCTGTAAGGAATGTGTCGATGGGTTGTACTATCTCTATATTTCTTTGCTAAACCAAAATCAATACAGTAAACCTACATATAGACCAATAGACGTTAAATACCCAATATATGAACATGAATATACAATACACTGAAGGCCACATGTAAACAAATCAGCCACCTGGTTTTCCCGCTTTCCCAGGCCCATGAGGAAATTATCTGGTTTGATATCCCGATGGAGAAACGATTTAGAATGAACAAACTCAACACGCTTGATCTGAAAAAAGAAGAAAAATGTGAGTTTTTTGAAGGATTAAAAAAACTACTAGTACATCATTTTACCAACAAAAAGAGTCAAAGTAATAATAAAAAGGATTAAAAAATCGATTGTACAAATAGGACCTACCATTTGCTCGGCAAGCATGAGAACTGTCTTTAGCGAGAGCTTCCTATTACAAAAGTTAAACATCTCTTCAAGACTAGGTCCAAGCAGATCCATTACTAGAACATTGTATTCTCCATCCACTCCAAACCATTTAATATTTGGAATCCCAGCTGCCCAGACCAAACTTGAGTTAGGACCATTTACGAATTTTAAGTAAGATCAATTATTCAAAAGAAGCGTTTGTTTCAAAAAGTGCAATTGAAAATATAAAAAAAAAAATGAAAATTTTTGATGTTATTATGAGAACAGGCATTACGCTCTCCTTGTAGTATTCTGTACAACTTGGACTCATACAGCAACTGAGGATTCTTCGTTCTGACATTTTCCTAATAAAAAAAAGTAGAGGACAGGAAGAAACAAGTAACAACAAAGTCAGATCTAGAACACTATGAGACATCCAGAACGTAGTAATTAAATAAAAGCAATGCCCAAAATTACTAGCAAAGTCCAAGTAGAGAGTAGGGACCGTATCAGGAATAAAGTTAAGCCACATTAGAATGTTACATTTTTTTAATAATTTTGCGAAGAAATGAGTATTAATTTGACAGATGATTCATGTGACAAATAAGATTCTTTTCATAGACTAGCATTTCAGGCTAATCATCAAATTCTTCAACAAAGCATGCATTATTTCACAAACAAGGGACAACTGTAAAAACTAGTTATTTTGATGTTTACTTTCTACACAAAATATGGCAAATAATTAAGTGATTAAAGGATGAATAAACTAGGAAAACTCAAGTCACATGTTAACAACAGTTTCTTTTCATCGATTCTGGCAGGGAGGAAAAATTATTAACTACAAGATTCAATAATCATGTCATTTCTTCTAATCCAGTACCCAACCAATGATTCTGAGATTAATGTATAAGAATTTTGAATAGAAAGGATATGCCAATATTCTTCTGCAGAAACTTGATTAATAGTAATATGCAAAGTATTTTCAATAACAAAACAAAAAAGTAGTAGTGTGCACAAATATTTGGGAACTATCAGTCTATTGAATTAAACTATTTCTTATCTCGCTAAAAGTATGCTAGAATGATATTTTAATGTACACAATCCTTTTAAGGTGAAATAGTAAGAAAATTTTTCACTTCCATGAGAATCGCCTCTTTGAAACATATTGCAGTCATGCGCATCGAGGTAATATTTGATGCTATTCAGATTTAATATATGTATGCACACTACATTCTGAAAACACTAGCACATCAAAATAAAAATAATAACAATAATTCAGTAATTTGATAAAAAACTTTATGCACGAACAAATACTTGTTTTTGTCAGTCAGCAGAGTGTTAGGAGGAACAATGCAACAAATAAGAAGCATTTCCAATCCAGTGCCACATATTTACACTGAAAAAGAATTGAACTTATATTTCAACTAGATCTAAAATGTTGAAACAAGAAGAACCAGAGTAATCAATCCTCGATAGCGGCGCGGGGCGGCCAACCCCAAAAATGGGATGGTGGGTAAGTGTATAGCGGGATGGCCGCTATTTGATCATTTTTTGTTCAAATTACATGAATAATAGTTATAAATATATGAAGTGGAGAGGGAAGAACGAAGTGCAGAGAGAGGTAAGGAAGGAACTTGTGATTTTTTTTTTGAAACGGATGAAGTGCAGAAACGTTAGGCGTCCATCCAATTCACGGGATGAGCCTCAACTCAAATTTGATCAAAAACCCCAAAATTACTTAACTAAAACGTTTTAAATTTAAGGTGTAATTTAGTTTTTCAGAGGAGAAAAGGATAGCGAGACAGAAACCGCTTCGGGACAGGAAATGCTCTGCCCCCGCTACAAGTTATTTACCCTATAGCGGCCGCTATAGTGTTCTATACCAGTTTTTTCAACTCACTTTAACATTAACACACTCAAACATGAAATCTGAACAATGAGCAAATAAATACCAATACAAAACTCTGATAAATCATCCTATTCTTCAGAATTCAAGCTCAACAAACAAATGATGCAACAAAAACAAAATTACATAAATAATAACACATAATTAATAAAACAATTAGTAAACATCACTTACAAGCTTAACTCCAACATCTTCGTTCGTTTGAATATTAGTACCTGCAATTCAAAACAAAACAAAACAAAACAAAAAAACACGCTCATGATCAATTAAAAATTCTAGTTGAAAAACGAAACAAAATCAAAACCAATAGAAAATCAAAACAACCTAAATAGATCTCCCCAAAGGAGCCACTACCGATCTTACGAACAAGACGATACTTATTTCCAACGCGACGTTCCATTCAAAAGGGAAATTGAAAACCTACGCCAATTGAAACGCTTAATTCCGAAATTTTTCACGACGAGGGATCGTGTTCTTCGATCGGATTACAACAAAAAAGAACTAAGGCGAAAAAACGAAGATTAATTTTTGGGGTGTGAGATTAATAGGTTAATTAGGTGGGGAAAAAAAGGAAAAAAAGATTGTTATCGAGCAAATATATTGGAGAAAGCTATCATTTTTGTTGGAGAAAGCTATCATTTTTGTTGGAGAAATTGGAGGAAATATCATGCATATTAAACTACTAGAGCGAAAACTCATGTAGTGCTTGAGAAAAAAAACCGTAAGACACAAATGGGTTGTTTAACAAAAGTACACAAATATAAATAAAATGTTAAAATTGGGTTGTTTAACAGAAGTACACAAATTGTGGAACGGAGGAGTATAAATAAAATGTTAAAATTGTTTTTTTTTATATCTAAAAAGTATTATTGAAAAACGAACTTTAAAAAAATAGTTTTTTTTATCTAAGATTAGTTTTAGATCCATTTATTATGGCTTAAAAAAAATAGTTTTTCCTTTTATTTTTAAAATAATTTATACGAGATTTTTTTAATAATTTGTCAAAATTGTTTCGCTTAGTAACTAAAAATAGTTGAAGATGGAATGAGGAAGGACTCAAGTATGGTGGAACGAGCTTTCGATACAGCGGAGCAGTATAAATCTATAAAGTTATCATTCAAAAGCTAGTACAAGAGTAATAATGAGTAGAATACATGGGTTTTAATGCGAGAAGAGTTTTATATATAGAAGACAGTAATAACCGCCTCAGGTCACTTAGCATGGAATGCTGAAAATCTTCGATTACATATGACGCGGACAATCACTAGAGGGCACTGATCGGGTGTTGGCCTCTTGACTGTGAAATCACTCGGCCTCTATTAATCTAGTGCTTATGTCTTTGGATTAGACTTTCTCATAATCAAGCATCTTCGTCTTTAGGCCTAAGACCGGCTCAAAATAGTTGCCTCTAAAGTTTGCCACAATGTAGCAACGTGAAAATTTAGATTACCATAACGCTTTCATCTTCTACTATAATACTCATGATGAGTTTCATGATGGTAGAAATAGGAAATGCTTGATGAATTAGAGCAAGTGACTTTGGGACAAAAGCATTAAATATTAGTCTTGTCACTTAATCGTTTCATGTGATCATTCATCCACCTTAGACCCTATAATAGGGTATTACTTTGTCATTTAAGATGACAAGTGTACTTGAGTATCATTGCAATTTCGAGGTTAATTTATTTATTAATTTTCGTTTGTTTACCTTCCTTTGGTTTGGATTGTAAATTTCCCTGCCATGCTCAACTATATAAAGGCAGTTTTCCATTTCACGTTACATTTCCACTATTTTGCTTAAACCATCTCTCTCCTTTACCAGCTCCGATTATCCTTCCCAAAACTCTGACGATACTTTGTCCTGCCTATTTCTTTTTCTTCTAGATTTTGTACCTGTGAAAAAGATGTTCATCATTTATCTTAGTTTAGTTTTGATGAAGACAAAATCCTATCAAAGAAGAAAAAGTTTAGAATAAAGAATCAATAATGCACAAACTTATGGATATTTTAGAAGTAAAGGAAATTGATTTTGATGCTAAGCTAATTAATTGCAATTCATTATATATAAATTTTAAATGCTCGAAAAAACTTTCATTCATTCATCTCTAAAGTTTATAAAACCATCATGCATCAAAACACTCAAGTATTGCCATTAAAAAACTGTTTTTTTTTTCATTTTTCAGTTCATTCTATTTTTTTATCAAATGCAATGCAATTATTCATAAAACTTCTCTATTCATCTGCATCTAATCCAAGAGGTATTCTAGGGTGTATTTAAGGCAAAGTACATATGTTTTTCAAATTATCTCTTTCACATATAATTTCATATAATTCAAATCTTTTTTTCAAGTGTTCATACAACTTTTACGATAGAAACTTAGTGCATAACTTTTAAATCATTCAAAGAGTTTCATAAAAAAATTTTGAGAACTTAAGGTTATTATGTTTGAATTGTAAATTGAAGGAGAAAATCAATTTTCTGTATTGGAATTTATTCCAGAGCATTTCATATATTCAAAATTTATTTTGATCACCAAGTATGTAGTGATAATTTTTTGTAATAGGAAGTGGCGTGCTTTCTTAAAATCGCTTGTAATAGAAAGTGGTGTGCTTTCTAAAAAGTGTTAGTAATAGAAAATGGTGTGTTTTCTAAGTGTTGTAAACATAAAGTAGTGTACTTTCTGGTTTATGTAAGAATCATCGTAGTGTTTGATAATTTTGGAAAATGTTATTTGATTCGGGGAGATTCAAAGTCCATCATAGGTGTGATGTTTATGTTAGAAGATTGCAAGAGAGGTCTTAGTGTTCGGCTTTTGCAAAGATCTAACATAGTGGAAAATCCTTCAAGGTGTGAAGGAACTTGATATACCTTTTGGTTGATACGGAGAACTAGTATAAATCTCTTCTGTTTTTTATATTTCAGCACTTTAATTTTCTACACTTTATATTGCTAAGAATACATCATTTTCATATCCAAAGAAAATTAAGAACATAGCATAAAATCAAGAAAAATAAGGCAACCTTCATTCACCCCCCCCCCCCTTCTCTTAGGTTACATCTTATAGTTATAATACACATTTAGTCTTTTGCATCTCTTGATGGTTCCTTCGTCGTTGCTTTGACTTTATCTCTTCGACTTTTTCAAATACCACTTTTATCTTTCTCTTTTACTATTGTCATTCTCTGCTCATTCCTCTTAGAATTGGCCAACCTAGGAGATAAACTAGCGAACTTTATAGATATATCTAGTAACGATGGCATAAAGGACACCTCGTCCATTACAGGAGAAGTACATTTGATCAATGTATTTTAATACATCATATTTTACTTTGTGCTAAGGAATTTTTCTGACTTGTTGCTTTTATTTTATTGTTTTTAGTGTGTTTTCTAAATTTAGCTTATTTCTGTTTTTATTTTAGTTTGGTTGCTTATTTTCTAACAAAGCGGTAATTTGACACCTACTCACTATGCAGGACATAACTAGATCTATAGGATGCTATTTGACGTATTCTAATATGTTTTGGAAAGATAAGAGGATAAGCAACAAGTTTTATGTTAAAGTCATAAGTTGACTCAGAGTGAAGAATGGTCGAATAATTTATTTCATCTCTAGCCTTAATAAAAAAATTAATTTTGGGTCAGTTTTTATATTTTTTCGGATCGGGTTTCATTAGAGCCCGATTTCCCTTTTACTATTTAAGTGAATTAGTAGTTTTGCTTTCATTCATGCAGAGTTTACACAAAATAACATTAGACGACTACAATTATTATTCTAAGCTAATTCTCCAAAGGTTGATCTATTGATAACGATTTCCATCAAACCTTGAGGTTATTATAACTTCAATTCGATTTCAATTCCTTTCAATATTATTCTGTAAAATATGTTGATTTAATTTGATAGATGCACGTTCCTAAGTTCAATTGTGTTTAATGTAGCTTTTTCATTAATTCGGCCAATCTTTAACTATTTGCTTAATTCGGAAAATAGGAGCATAAATTGTATAATATCAACTATGCTTGTTTAATCGATATTATAATCGAATAGGGATTGAATCCTCTTAGGGAATTAGAGTTATAATAACCATTGATAGCTCGAAACCTAAATTAGTAGATTAGCTCGTTAGTTTTATTCGAAATCAAATTATGTTAATCATACTTTTAATCGAAAATCAAAACCCCTTTTTTGTTTCAATCGGTTGGTTAAAATAATCAAGAGTCCTTGCGATAGGACTCGATTGTCGCTTCTGTATATTACGCTTATTAACTCATTTTTTTACCAATGTGCGATAGTGGGTCAAATTGGCATCACTGTCGTGGGTCGAACGCGGGTCACCCGCGTGACAGGCGGGAATACTTACCATTATACTACAAATTTACCCTCCCTCTCTTAGGTTACATCTCATAGTTATAGTACTCATTTAGTCTTTTGCATTTCTAGGTGGTTCCTTCATTGTTGCTTTGACTTCATCTCTTTGACTTTTCCAAACACCACTTTTATCTTTCTCTTTTACTATTGTCATTTTCTGCTCTTTCCTCTTAGAATTGGCCAACCTATGAAATAGATGGTATAGTTTACCTCTAAAATAGGGTTCAATTTATTAACTGCAACGCCTTATTATGCCTAAGTTAATGGTCAAGTTGAAGCGACTAACAAGATTGTAATTGGCTTAATTAAAAAGTATGTGGGTCAAAAGCAAAAAAAAAACGGGCATAAAACCTTATACCAGGTGCTTTGGGCATGTAGAAACTCGCCTTAGGAGTCAACTAATTCCACGCTATTTCGACTTACTTATGGTCAGGATGCAGTACTCCTTCTAGAGAAACACTTGCAGTTAGTTAGAGTTGAAATGCAATTTGAAATTCCAACTGAGTACTTTTAGGGTATGATGCTGGATGAATTAGTTGATTTGGACGAAGAGAGATTGGTTGCTCTAGATGTTTTGATACGACAAAAACAAAGAGTGGTTAAGGCTTATAATAAGAAAGTCAAATAAAAAAAACTTTATGTTATCGGACTTAGACTGGAAAGTCAGCTTGCCCATGGATAAAAAAGACCGAACTTTGGGCAAATGGTCATCTAATTGGGAAGTACCATTTAGTATCTTGCAAGAATTTACAAATAATGTATATGAAGTCGAAAACCTAACCCCTGAAGGTCGAACCTTGAAAAATGGTAAATACTTAAAGATATGTTGATCTACATTGCAGGAAATACATATTAACGCAAAATAGAAATTGTATTTTGAAATAAAAAAGGCTAAAAACATTAGTCTGAATGTCGAGATGCCACAAAGGGCATATTTAAAGATTAAAAAAACAAAGTGTCATCAAAAGACATAAAATCATGAATAGAAAAATAAAAGTGCAAGTCCTAAAAGGGAAAAGAGGCTTTGAGTTTTT